GAAGCAGCAAAACCTACCCCTTAGTCTTCTTCTAGAGACCTAAGTTGAAAGATGATTCTATAATAGATCTCCCGATTGTTTTTTCAGGGTCAATATTTCTCAGTAAATTCTTTTAGGGAACATACCTTTTAGTTTGTATGTTTTCAAAGGAACCCACTTTATGCTCCTGTTATAAAAGGATATGTCTTAGTAATCCCGCTGTGACCATTTGCACCATCATATCACACCCACAGACATTCGCCAAATGGTAATACCAATTCGATTTTCAAAATGGATTTCAATCACAGATCAATACATTCAGTAATTTAGCCATAAGGCCCTATTATAAACCCTACAAAGAAAGTGTATACCTGTGTATTTCTCTGTGTATCTAATCACTGGTATATTTTTACTCTATTAATAGAAAGATTTCATGAGTGTGGAGCTCACTGATGGGCACATAAAAGTCAGCTATGATCTGGGTTCAGGAATGGCTTCCGTTGTTAGCAATCAAAACCATAATGACGGAAAATGGAAATCATTCACCCTCTCAAGAATTCAAAAACAAGGTGAGCTTCTATCCTACTAATGCACTCTGAGCCTTAATCAGGCTCTCCAAAGCTCTCATGTGCCTAATCATGACAAAGACCCCATCTGTAATTTTAGGTACTCACAAATTCTGTGAAAAATTAATACAGTCATTTCTTTGGCTTCGATTATAGGTGGTTTATGTTAGACATAACTGATTGAAGAGCCAAATGGTTCTCTGTCATTTTCTTGTGAAACTGAGAGCTTAATTTGAAAGCATAAAATGGTCTTACAACTTGTAAAATTATTTCCTGTAGTAGGTTTAAAAAGGTTGTGTGCTTTTTGTTTTCTTCTTATTTTGCAAAGATGTTCCCTTTAGAGTGTCCCACAGGTAGAATTTATAGGGGTTTGTTAGAGCACAGCTAATAATGTAACATTTGTGTGCTTCCAAGACATTTTAAAAACATGTTCACAAACATTTCATTTGTTCCTATAAGCAGGTATTCTGTTCAGGTGTTAGAGAAGGGGAAACATAGACTCAAACTTACATGTGGTCACAAATATATATAAATATATAGATATATAGTTACATAAATAGATATATAGACATATAAATATATATGATCTCACCAGAAATTAAGTCTTAGTGAGCTGCTATTGTTATTTTAGTATGACTCCCCTAATTCTGTGTACTGTAGCATTACCAATATCTGCAAATGAAACTTTGATTCTTCCATTTATATAATTAGACTTATTTAATTTCAATCATGCCGTTTCATGGAAATTTAGGTATAACTTTGAACCATCCTTCATTCTGCATTTAACAAATATCTGCCAAGCACCAACTAAGTACTATGCAAGAACTAAATGAAGTCTATGACAAACTCTTAACTTCAGGGAACATGTGGTCTAATAGGGAAGCTAGACAAGTAAATTAGAAGACAGAAAGCTAATTGCTGTGTAGAGAGAGGTACAGCCGGCTAGGAATCAGGATAGCAATATCAGAAGAGAGATATTTAAGTCAGAGAGGTCACCTCCCAAGGGAGGACCCCTGAGACACCATCAGGAATTGAGGTGTTTCCTGGATGAAAAGCACCTTTGGACATTTCAGAGAAGTGAGTTGTAAGTTTGGGGGTCTCAGCGAGCATAACATCATAGTACATCATTTTCCAAATGGTTTTCCTTAGAGCATGAACCCCTGGAGGAACTCCTCAGTTTGGATAAAAACTGCTTTTGTGCTTGTATAAATTGAAATACTGCTGAATACATTGTTCTCATGTAAGAGAGGCACAATGTACATTTCATGTTAGAGACTCTGCATGGTAGTTAAGAATGTTTAACTCTATTTGTCCCATTTCCCAAACGTCTTTGATCACCCAAATTTTTCCATCCCTGCAATATTAGCATTCCGCTGAACACACTTTGCGAAATGCTTTATTAACTACAAGTAAATCCACATGCTAACAGGATGAATATGGCAGAAAATTATCACATGAGGCTAGAAAGATGACAGAGCCAGTTCATAAAGGGCTTATGAGCTAAGTAAGCTAGTGAGTATCAGCTTTATCCTGAAAGAGACAGGGACCTAGTAAGAGTTTTAGTCAAGGGTGTGATACTGTCACACCATCAGATCTGTGCTTTAGTAAAGTTTCTTTAGCAGCAACTTGGAGGGCACATTTGTGACAATTTTAGATATTATGGTATCAGTAAAACCAGGTGAAGAGTGAGGAGAATGAAACCATGAGAACAGAGGGGAAAGAATGGAGTTGAAAGATATTAAGCATTTCAAAATTGAGGAGCTTTATGATATACTCAGTGTGGAGTCTGTTTTCTTAGTTTTTTTTTTAAAGGATATCAAGAATGATTCATTTCTTATTTGTTTTGTTTTGTTTTTGCTTAAATAACAAGAATATGTCGGTGCCATTTGCCAAGCTATGCATTACAGAAAAAGAAGATCAGGTTTTCTAGAAAAGATGCTTTCTATTTTGAACAAGCTGTATTAAAGGCACTCTTCAGATCTTTAGCAGCCTAGGGAAGCTGTGTAATTGGCAGGCAATTAATTTCATGTATCTGAGGATCAACAGAGCTCTAGGAAAGAGATGGGTAACTAGGAATCATTATCGTGTTTTAAATAATGGTGGCTGAATCAGGATGAGAAAAACCAAGCAGTTGTATCTAGAATAAAATGATCCAAAGCCTTGAAGCAAGCAGCAATATTGAAGCAATATAGCAAATGAAGACCCGCAAAGCAGGTAGGGGTCTGTAAAGAAATAATCAGAGAAAGGAGAAATAAGGAAGATAAAGTTTCAGTAGACCAAACTGGAGGAAGAGTGACCAATTAGGTCCAATAATAATCTAGGCAGGAGACAAATGATGTCTTGAAGTAAGAGTTGCAGTGGGACTTGACACTAGGGAAATGCAAAGAAGTTGATAATGTGATACCACTGTACAGTTATTAGAATGTCTAAAATTAAAAAGACTAAACATACCGAGGGCTGGCAAGGATGTGGAGCAACTGGAATGCTTATACACTGCTGATGAGGGTGTAAAAGAATACAGCCACACTGGAAAATAGGTTAAATATACATCTACCTTGTGAACCAGCCATTGTACTCCTAAGTATTTACCCAAGACACGTGAAACCATATATCCATAAAAAGTTTTGCAACAGAATGTCCATAGCACCTTTATTTGTGATGCTCAAAACAAAACAAACCTCAAACATTCATAACATTCATCCATAGGTGAATGGGTATACAAATTGTTGTATAACACACAATGAAATACTATTTAGCAATAAAATCAATGAACTTTTTTTAATTAAAGTTTATTGGGATGACAATTGTTAGTAGAGTTTCATAGGTTTCAGGTGTACAATTCTGTAATTACATCATCTATATATATCACATTGTGTGTTCACCACCCAGAGTCTGTTCTCTTTCCATCACCATATATTTAAACAATGAACTTTTAATATGCACATAGAGTGAATGAATATCAGAATAATTATTCTGAGTGAAAGAAACCAGACAAAAAAGTACATTCATGTAAAATTATATGGAAAATGCAAACTCACCTGTAGTCACAGCAGATAGGGGTTACTTGTGGATGTGGTTATATAGGGAGGGACAGGAAGGAACGGTGACAAAGAGGCATAAAGGAACATTTGGAGTGATGGATATGTTCATTTTCTTGATTGTTGTGATGGTTTCATGTATGTTTATATATCTGAAAACCTGTTGATTTGAGCAAACTATACTATGTCAATTCTACTTTGGTAAAACTCTTTTTAAAAATAGGACTGATATTAGAGTTATTTAGGAGATGAAATTAGTAGGGCAGTTATTGATTGATTCAATAGGAGTGGTGAGAATGTTAGGATGACTCTGTAATTTAGAAGACTGAGTGTGGCTCACAGGGCCACCAAGTAACATAAACAATACAGATTTGGGAGTAAAATCATTTTGCTTTGGAATATTCTTAGCTTAAAATACTATGAAGGTACAGAGATGATGGTGTCTCACCTCTAGAATGTGGACTTTTAGGCAAAAATTGGATTCAGGCATGTATATTTCTGAGTTGTCAACACAGAGTAAGCAGATACAAACTTGAGTTTACTCAAATAGCTAAAATCTGAAAAGTGGCCAAATGAAAGCATGTCGGGGAATGTAAGTGTTTCAAAGGTGTTCGAAGAAATAGATCTTGGGGAAGGATACTGAGAATGAAGTTGAAAGGTCAGTGAGGCTGGAGAGGTTGGCATTATGGAAGCCAAAAGAAGAAACTTCCTAGAATGAAGGAAATGTTAAGAATATCAAATACTGCAGAGACATGGACTGAGATAAGGGCCAAAAGGACCTCATTGGATTTGGATGTAGGGAGGTCACTTGGATTTTAGCGAGATCAGATTCCATAGATAGGATAGAGATAGGAATTCAAATAAGGTTCCAGTAGTGTGGGTCATTGCTCTTTTTCAGTGACCTGATTAGTTATTTTACATTAATTATTCTCCACTAGTCTGTAAAAGCACTGTCCCTTGAAATTCAAATGCCTCCTTCAGGAGGGCATTCCCTGCCTTTTCTGAGAGTCAGTCAGTTGAACCACAGTCTGCTACTACTAGAAGAGTGCCAGATCCCCCGGGTGCATTGATATGGACACGAGACTGAGAAAGATCATTTAGATTTTCAATGGACTAAGAGAGAGAAGAAAAGAATTACCAAAGTAAAAACAGTTTGTTTATAACAACTCAGTATTGATTATAAAATGCTGGTTAGACCCTTACTCCCTGTCTAGTATTTAATAAAACCCTTTTTCCTCTGCTTGCCCATAAATGATGTCTGAAATTTTATATTAATAGCTGTTCTGTAAGGGAAAGAAGTAGGGCAAGAAATAAAAGCAAGTGTTAGCATTTCCTTGCAGCACGCACTTCATCACTATCACTCATAAAGCCTTCCCTTTAAATCAGTAAAAATGTGCCATCCTATGTGTCTCCGCCAGAGTTAACACTTGGGCCAGGGAGTTTCAATTCAATTGTGTTTTTGCTCTTTAATCAGTTTTTCTTTGAATGACTTCTAAAAATGCATATAGTCAGTCAGGGAGGAGGAGGAAAACTACCTCCAGTCACTAGCTTTCCTGAGATAGAGGCAGAATCTCATTTTCACAGACACCATTAAAATATGTGATAGGTCTGTAGGAGGAGGCCATTTCTGTGTTACAGTCAACAGCCCAGAATGAAAACTTCTTTGTTGATCTGGATAAAAATGAAATATGTATGAAAAAGTCTTGAAAATAGTTTTTTTTGGTTTTTTTTATCTCCTTAACCATTTTTTAAGGTTTTATTTTTTAATTTAATTTAATTTTATTATTAGTTTCTGGTGTGCAAAACAACACAATGATTAGACATTCACTCCCCTTACCAAGTGGTAACCCCACCAAGTTTACTACCCCTCTAACATTGTAAATAGCTATTATAATACCATTGTCAATTCCCTATACTTTATATCCCATGATTATGTGTTTATATACACACACAAAAGGTACCAAAAAATGTATACATGTTTTAAGAAAGGAAAAAACTGTATTAAAATTGTAATATTCAATATATACCGATAACAAAAGTTGAATACAAGTCACGTTTGGCTTCTGCAATTACAAGAGGTGCTCAAAGTGGTTACCATCAGCGTCCAGACACTTCTGATAACAGTGAACTACTGTTTGAGTAACGTTGACCAAAGTATCCACTTGTGTCTCTGTACATGCTGTTTCAATTTCTTCCCAAAGTACCACAAGTGTAGCCAGTTTTCTATGGTTTACCACATCCTTTAAGGTTCCCGTATAGGTAGAAGTCAAGGGGTGTTAAGTCAGAAGAACGTGGGAAACACTCAACCACACCTCTTCGTCTTATCCATGGTCCTGGCAAATTCTCATTGAGGTAAGCTTTCACATCTTGGTGGAAGTGTGAACAACAACCGTGCTTCTGCCATTTTCTTTGTCCTGCCTGTTGCATGGTGACCGTAGCATTCATTTGATTAATGCCATCTTTTTTTATTCTTTATTATTATTATTATTATTATTATTATTATTATTTTAGTTTCAGATGTACAAAACAATGTAATAGTTAAACATTTCACCCCTCACAATGTGATCAAACCCCTCCCCCAATCTAGTGCCTCTCTGATATCGTATATATCTATTACAATTCCAATGACTCTATTCCCTATGCTGTACTCCATATCCCGTGACTATATATATTTTAAATTATAGTTGACATACAATATCTTTTGAATGAGCATCATATTACACATTACTACCATAATTCAATTCATTTTGAAAAGTAATTCATAGATAACATCGCTTAAAATGTGTATACATTTTTTTGGCACCCAGGCATTCATTCATATATATATATTTTTTTAGCTGGTTGACATTCAGTATTATTTTATGTTATATGTTAGTTTCAGATGTACAGAGCAGTGGTTAGGCATTATATCGTCTATGAAGTGATTCCCTCCATAAGTCCAATACCCATCT